TCATTAATTTGGAGTTTTGTTCCATAGAAAAATCCACAAATAGGTGATTCTGGGGGTCCACTGTAGCAGATGATAGTTATAGTGAATGCTTTGTTTTGGTGTTTTTTTTTTTTTTGTTAAAAATGTTGATAAAACTGAATGTGTAAAGGTTTAAAGCTATAGCATATTTGGCTCATGTGCATCCCGAACTGAAATACCTGGACTGAAAATATTCGGTATGAATACCTGCATCATTAAACCCCTTATTAACATCCAACTCTGCTTTTGACCTCTCCATTATGTTCTCCCTGACCTATCTGCTGTGTTCCTTCGCCTTCATGTTGCTGTTTATCCACTCTTGTTCTCTATTGGACCTCTGAGGCCTCCATAGACATCATTTCTATTTGATACTGCTTCCCACGGCCCACTGCTTCCAAGTGGGCCGTGGGAAGCAGTATGGATGAATATAAGAAAAGAACAGTTACACAAAAATGTATCACTTTAAAAATGGTTGGTGGTGTGTTTTGTTGCAACCTGGTAGTGTGAAATAAACTTTAGTGGAGTTTGAAAACCCAATATGTGTTTAGGTTTATGTCTGGTTGAACGATGCGTGTTTTTTTTTTTTTTTTCTTTTCTGGGGGGAATTTATTGCAATCCGTCGGGGGCCTAGTAGATCTTTGGAAACCACTGGATTAAACAATATATAAACTTGGAATGGTGAACAAGCTGAAACGTTTTCTGCTTTTTAACAATATTCCACAAAATTATCACCTTTGGAAACTGAACCAAGAATTTCACCTTAATGTTTTCTTCGACCTGTGGAAGTTTGAGAATGTAACTATGCTTCCAAAATAACTTAATAGCTTTAAAATCTTCCCTCCAGGTTTGAGAAGCTGTACACTGTGATCAACATCTTGCTGGTCAACCTGGTGACGTCGTCCCTGATCTTGATGAGCAGCCTTCCCTTCCAGGCCGTCTACATGCAGATGTCTACATGGATTTTTGGCTCAGCTATGTGCAAGATTGTCTTCAGCGTCTACTACCTGGGTTTTTACAGTTCTGTTTTCTTTCTAACTCTGCTAACACTTGACCGTTATCTTGCTTTTGTACATGTTATGCCTGTAGTACATGTAAGGAGTCGACGCAATGCAATCATTTCCTGTGCAGTGGTGTGGGTGATCAGTGGTGTGGCTTGCATTAGGCCCATGATCCTGCATGGCACCTTCAAGCATTGGGCACTGAGCACTGTGAGGAGTTTGCTCACATTGATGGTATGAATGTAGAGATGCTCAATAGATCCGGATTTTATATTCAGCTTTTTGTCTTCTTGATCCTCCCTCTGGCTGTTATCATATTTTGTTACATTAGGATTGTGGTCACCATTAAAAAATCCCGATCAACTGCTAAATTCCATGCAGTCAGGGTGATATTTATGATCGTAGTGTTGTTCTTCATCTGCTGGATCCCATTTAACATCGTAGAACTCCTGCATTATAAATACGAGTCTGATTTGAGCTGTGAAGCTAAAAAGAGTCTCGGTTACGCTCTTCATGTCACCCGCAACATGGCGTACATTTACTTCTGCATCAGTCCAATGTTTTATACATTTGTGGAAAGGAAATTCCAGGAGCACTTCAAACAGCTGCTGGTGAAATGGTTCCCAGGCCTAAAAAGGCACATTTTGGTCAACGAAGGCGACAGAACAGCAATTCCCACGGTAGGAACTGAATACAGTGATGGTAAGCAAAGTGAGAGTTTCTTAAACACTCCTGAAAAAGCTCTGTGAGTTTGCTCACATTTCCACCGAGTCAACAGAGAGCATAGAAACGAGGGGGGAGGCTTTCATCCTAAAAAACACTGCATGATTGTTACATGCAAGAAAACGTTCTATGAATGGTTCTTGCACTTTATTTTGACATAGTAAGCACCTTAATAAATTCATTAAATAGAGCAATAGTCATCAGACTGTCCAGACTGAAAGTATCTTTAGAGAAAAAAAAATTGCAGCTTTCTTCCCCTGCCTCTACAAGACTGATAAAAAATGTGTCAGTTTCTGTTTCAAGTAAAAAGTTAAGAAAAAGGAGATCCAAGATTTTGCTGAATTTGATATTTCTTTGAGTATCAAATAAATATTTGATATTTCTCATTTTGTATGAACGAAGCATCCCTTTTTATTATTGTGTTCTGTGTTTCTTTCAAAATGGGGAAGCGCTAAAAAAAGAGAACCACTTCAAAAGTTGGAGTTAAAAAATGTAATAATCATTTAATCATTATGATGTAAATTTGTACAAAAGCTTTGCATTTTGTAGGAATTGCTTGGCCTGAAATTCAGCTGGAATTGTTGCTATGAATATAAGATCAAAAATAGGGTTGGCAGTATTAGTCTCACTTTTATATTTCAACATTTTCATGGTCACATGCGAGGTTCTGATACTGCTCATGCAATGCCTTATGTATTACATAAGATGTTAGCAGTTTGTTTTGAACAGATGTGTAAGTTTTAAAAGAGCTCTTGTGTCAGCTTCCCAAACTCCAGTTTCTTAAAAATGTTTTAGATATGGACTCCAAATACAGTGCTAACAGGTGAATTTTCCACCAAAACATTTGGAGTCCACAGAAAAGTCGGGAGACGTTTCCAGTCACTGCGGCTGAAATGGAGTGGTTTAGGTCCAGTGATCAATTATTAGATCTGGTCATAAAAAGTCCTGTTAAACAGTGGCAACATGCCCTTCAAATCCTGTGCTTGTGTATGCTTTCTTCCAGAAACCTTTAGAGGTCGGGTTGGGCAGCAATGTATTAACATGACTTATTCAGGGTGCCGGGAAACAACAAAGATATTGATCGGAATATCAAACTCAGTATCAAACAGATTCAGATAAGTTGAAACCATGTTATGCATGTGTATGTGTGTGTTGCTCAACACCAATGTCTGTGGTTTATGTGAAGAGCAGATGATGTTGGGCCTTCATTGCGCAACGTTATCTTGCCGTGTCAGCATTTTGTGACTTAGAAGGCATTTTGTAAATATGCTGGCCAAAGCTGTAAAGAAAAATAAGTCATCTTTATTTTTATTTTTTAAATATCGGACAGCTTTTAGAAATGAAAAACAAAGCCTCTCCTCCCCATCAAAGAAGATTGAAGTCGGCACCATTCTGTCTCTTACTACAGAATCAGACACACGAGAAGAAATCAAGCAAAGGTGACTGAGTTTTCAGGAACACAGCTGAACGAAAAACGCTTGTCACAGATTTGACATGTTTATGCTGTGGACCTCCTGCAGTTAAAATATATGTAAATTTTTATATGCATGTTTTCCTTTAGTGTCTTTTGTCCTGTGATGTCAGGGCAATGTAAGTCTCAGTTTAGGGTTATCAATATTACTTCACTGCACAAAATGACATAGAGTAATCCATTTAGAGCATTACTCAGAAGATAGTACTACTGTATATTATCCTGTTAAGGCTTACTAGTGTATGTATGTATAAGACAGTATGTAATTGGATTCCACCCAGTCCTTGTTCAGTAATCAGCATGTGCTTGTTTTTGTTTTTGGAATATTTGTTGCAGAGAATCTGGAGTTTATTTCTCAGTTGTTTTTTCTGTTTTAATTTCTTTTTTCTTTTTCTTTTTTATATCTAGAAGTAAGAATGATCTGGCTCCATGAAAAGCCACATGACAATAATTTGTCATTATATTCTTCATGTTATTCATATGTTTTGCTATTGCACAATAAATGTATTGCTTTAAAAATAAGTCCTGTGTTTTATCTTACATGTTATTACTGAAATGAATCCTTCAAACTGACTGACTGAATATTGATCTTATGAAGTCCATCATAAGCTATGTTTACCAATTGATTTTTTTTAAATGAAAGAAAAAAAAATCAACTGAATTTAATTATTACTCAACAAGCTGAACTGAGAATCCACATAATGTCAACCAGGAGCCAATTATATGAAGACGAGGGACTGTGAGGAGAAATTAGTTCTACTGCAGAATCCATCAAATAGATCTGAGAAAGCCTGATTAATTCACAGCAGCTGCGTTTTCATCAAAAATGTGCATGAAACTTTGTCGTTTTTCCACTAACGTAAAAAAACAACAACAAAAAAACAATTTCACAATTGCAGTGTTTCTATTGAATAAGACTTTAGTAGCGCAATAAAAATCAAACATGAATAAGCTTGTTCATCCAATAATTCTTCAAAAATTATGCAGCACCATCATCCTCATCATTCCACTGCAAATGTTTTTCATTGAAAAACTTTTTTTTTTTCAAAATTGCTGCGTCTCTATTAAGCAAATTTATTTTGATTTAACTTTGCACCATTTTAAGGTCGATGGAAATGAAGCCAGTCTGAGTCAATCTGTTTCTTCAAACTCTTCTTGATTGTTGTCTACTTAGGAACACCTTGAAGGCCAGGGAGGAAACACACACACCCACGCACACAAACATGCACCGAACCCCCGAGGACAAAATAGCTGCAGCATAAACACAGAGGAGAGGCTGTCAAATTTCTGTTATCTACATGATGTGTTTCTGATTCCCTTTACATCGCAGTAAATCAGGAGATGCATTTTAATGCGCCTTCTTCGACAGATTAAAAGCACCTTTTGAAAACAACTCTTAACATAATATTTAATAATCCCACCTTTAATCTCCACCTCTTTTCACTGATGATCCTTGGAACAGAAACAACGCTGCAGAATTTTCAAAGAACACTTTATGTAACAATCAACATCTATAAGTGAACTTTTTCCTCCAAAGAGTTTTTGCAGAGCCAGTGATTCGTATTTTTGACAGTAGGCAGACAGGAAGAAGGGCGAGGAGAGGGGGGAAGACATGCAGCAAAGGTCGCCGGGACCGGGAGTCGAACTCGCAACGCCCACGCCGAGGACTAAGACCTCCAAACGCGGGGCTGTGCTAACCACTGTGCCACCCCATCACGCCCCGTCTCTAAGTGGACTTAAGCTGCAGCTCCTGCTTCATACGGTGAGATTTTTTCGACTCACGTAGAAAGCACACATCTCCTGAAAAACACTGACAGCAGTAATTATATGGGTGAGTCACATTTCCTTTGAATGATTTTAATGTTTTAACAATTTGGCTACAAAAATACTGTTCTTTTAATCAAATCAATTGCTTTCCATGCCACTTTCTCTCTGTGTATCATAAGCATGGCGGGCTGCCAGGCTTTACTTGCATCCCGGGCCGGATAAGCTTTGTGTGTTTATTTATTTTAAATATGTTTTTTACACGCCAGGATTAAGGGTTTACAGCTGAGGCTCTGAACTTGGTGCGGCAGCTTTCATTCAAAATGTTTTCTTTGGAAGACGTTCTTTTAGAGCAGGTTTTTCTCCACCAGCTTTTCTTTGATCTCTTTATGAAAGATGTGTTTTGGGACACACACCAACATACTCATCAACTATCAAGGCAGGTGAGAGTTGCAAGGTTCATGTACATATAACTCTGTGAACAAAGAATCACATGTGGCGTGTGTGCTTACACCTCACACACCCTCACTCAGTGTGTGTTCTGCATGCTCTAGCCTGTGTCTACACTTACAACTAAACAGTGAAAATAAATGAACCAAGCACCAGCCAGTCAGACAGGTCTCTGTCATCCAGAGTTTGGTAATCCTGCATTCGCTCAGAAAAAAAGCGAAAAACAAAAAAAAGACAACTAGTCACAGCCAGCAAAGCAAAACGATGCACCAAACGTCAGACAAACAGCTGGATTTTGGTAAACACAAGAAAACTTAACACAATAAATACTAGAGTTTTGTACCATAAGATAAGCATACTAATGTCCTTATTCCACATCCATTTTAGATAAGATTTCTTATGAAAGTTACTTTTCTTTTAAATGTGACCAACACTACATAGCTTATTTTAATGACAGATTACTTTATCAGGATTTAACTGAAGTGCATACATTTGTTATCATTTCTGATCTTAATTACCTTGTGTTTATCTTTTCTGTGACTTTATAGTTAGTAATAAAAGTTGTTAATAACATAATCACCTGATTATGGAGCCTAGCAGCTGCTGGAAGGAAGAATCTATGATAACGCTCCTTTGTGCGTTTCGAATGTAGCAGTTTGTCTGTAGCTGCATTTGTATAGAAATGCAGCTACAGACAAACTGTAACTGCATTTGCACAGAAAACATTCAACATTCTGCTAATATTGAAAAAAACAACAACATAATTTTGCAATTATGCTATTAGTTTTTTGCAACTAATAGCACATGAATAAGGCAAAAAACCTGGAACTCCCTCCTCTTCCCACCACTTTCTATCTTTGCTTTTTTTCCCCTTTTTTTACCCATAACAGGAATTGGTTTGTGATCATGTGACTCATGGGATGGTAGAAAATACATTAACTTCGAAGTGGCTGGAAAGAAAAAAAAACCTCATCCTTGCACAAGAACTTTTTAATGAAACAAAACCCAAGTTTTTCAACTTTGGGATATTTCTTTCCATTGAGCAAATTTATTTTTGTACTTCCAATTTGCACATTTTTGAGGTCAATGGAAACACAGTTAGTAAAGTTCAGAAACAGGTTCATGCATCATGTGGGGCACATTGTCCACACTGTTTAACTCAAGCTAAAACATTGATGCTGTTTTAGCTTGGGTTCTTCTGCCTCCCTCCACCTGCACTGGGTTAGGGGGGCCACCCTGGAGCGGCCCTGTCCAATGTGCTTAACTAACCACTTCCTATTGGATGGAGATAAGCTGCTGCTCTAATAGGCTACACTCTGAGTCAGAAATTTGACCATGAGGAGCGCCGTCCGCACTTTGATAGATCTCAATTTGAATGACGCTGGATGTCAAGTCATTAGGTGTAGCAGCGTTGACAGTATCACATTGTTTTCATGAATATGGTAAAGTGAATATTGTTGAATTCAATCACAAAAGATTATGAGTGGGTTTTTTGTTTCATTGTGAAACAAAAAAACAATGTGAAACAATGTGTTTCATTGTGATCAACATATTTATTGTTAATCACAATACAATCAACAATATTGTGATTTTTTTTCATGCATGGTTTTCATGCCTAAAGAATATGAAGTGTTGGGCAGGAATTTCCTGTTCCTGTTTTTCCAAGTGTTCCATGCAATTTTAGGAAAACAAAAGCTTACAACCATTATGCCCATTAACAGTAAACTTCCCAAATGACCCAGTAATCTTGCTAAGTGATGTCTGCCCTATTTTAGTCAGAGGATGTTCTCTGTGTGTGTATGTAGTGTATGTTTGTGAGACTTCTGACTCCACAAGGATTAACCAAAACTCCAAACAGTTGAGCTCTGGTGGGGCTGCTGGTAATGGGGAGAAATTCACTTAGGGGAATATGCCCATTATGAAATAAGCCCTTATCAATGTTTGATGTAAACAGCTGCTCTATGTCTTTAGCATGACTAGATGGCGTGTCATAAAACAGAGCAAACAGAAGCAGAATGCAACATTTACAATTGGATGTTTTACTTGTTCTTCAGGTGTAAAAGTTAATCTGATTGATTGTAGCAGTTTTAGAATTAATATCAGAATCTATTACAAGTCTTTTCCCCATTATAGTCTTAGCTAAAATGGGTTATTGTCAGTTATTGATGTTTAGAAGGAGCTTAACTGTCGATTGTTGGACTTTTAATGTACCTGAAACTGTTTTTACCGTTGATCCAGTCAAAGTGCCTGATGAGGGATATGCTCCACAAATACTAGTTTTGTTTAGAAAGCATTTTCTAGTTATTTGAATTACTGTAGTTCTGGCAGATTTTGTAGAGTATTATGTAAATTTTTCCTTTGCATTAAGAAACTTTTTTCTCTCTCTTCATCTTCGTCTTCCTCTCTCACGCTTTCTCTATGGTCAAATTCTGTTTATTTTCCATTTGTTCAGTACCATTTTGTTTACAACACCGGGGACTGCAGGAAGCATTTGTCATCCATTTACTTACAAATCGACATTTGTGATTTCAACAAGCAATTAGAGTATGGAAAAGACCAGAAATGTTATTAGGTTTGCGTGCTCTCATAGTCATGAGAAATTAGAAGCAGCAACAGTGGAAAAGCTGTCAGTGCCCACATATTGTCTCTAAATGGACTAAGTGCAAGGGTGCTCAAGTTCCAGTTCTCGATAGCTACCATCCTACAACTTTTAGACTTGTCCTTACTCCAATAGCCCAGGATCAACTCTGAACAAACCTGCAAACAAGCCATTCATGTGACTGAGGTGTGTTGGAGCAGGAAAGCATCTGGAAGATGCAGGATGGTTTCTCTCGAGGACTGGACCCCTGATTTAGTGGTACAAAACAGGATGTTCACTTGACCTGTTAGAACCAACATGTGAAAAAACGTGTGAAAAAAATTGAAGACATTTTTAAGGGGGAAAACACTTTTTCATAACGCTGTACCTACACCATGATCTGATCAAAAAGACTGATGCCAGGCCAGTGGATGTGGAACATTGTGGTGAAGTGGGGCCTGAAGAATCATTCAACAGTGAAAACTTGACCGATAGAGAACATCATGCTGCTGGACCTTTGTGGGTAGTGGAGATCAGGGAGACGCGAAAGACTTATTCCAGTGGGAAGAATGAATGAATACATAGTTCTCTGTTCATTTTCTCTGTCTTCCCCCTTAACATCTAGTGATTGCTTACCTTCAGAACTAAATGGATGTTGATGGGAACTGAAAGAAGATGCAATGAAAGAATCTTCCCAGCAATCAAAGCATGAATCTCAGCTCCCCCTTCTGAGAGTGATGATTATTGATCCTTTGACTCATGATAAACATCAACAACTAGTTTTAGCTAAGACTATAATGGGGAAAGACTCCTAACAGATTCTGATATTAATTCTAAAACACCAACAACCAATCAGATGGACTTTTACACCTGAAGAACAAGTAAAATATCCAATTGTAAACAGTGTCACAGTCAGGCTTAAAAGGTTGTGTTCCATAGAAAAAAATTTTTTTCAGTGAAAAGAAGACATATAAGTATATGCATCTTACACTGAAAAAATGTTTTCTTTATGAAGATTTTTTTGTTTTTGGCGTGGGAGGGGTGGGGGCCGTCTTTTTTATTCTTTGACTGAAAATACTGTGATTTTATACCGATAAAATCACAGTATTTTATCACTGTGATTACGTGACACAGGAATAAATCCTTCATAGCAATCCCAGTAAAAATGTTGCTGATTTTTGCACTGCAATACCTCCCACTTCGGAAGGTGTAAAATATTAGCATAAACTGCAGTGGAAAATAAAACATAGAATTGATTTCAAATGCCAGAAATCATCTGTCGTGCTTCTCAGACCAACAGCAGGTCTGAAGTGAGGGCAGATGGGGAAGTTGGGGGACTTGGGTGGGTCAGGGATTGAATGGGGAGTGGGTTAAGCCTGTGGGTGGTGGGAGAATTTAGTTCATCCTGTTCCTTGGGTCGAGTTGGTCTGTGAAGTCTGTAGGTCCTGCACAGTTGGTGGAATGAGTCTCAGTCTTGTTGAGACTTTTCCGGTGTGAACTCGCTGAAGGAATGGCGCTCCTGCTCTGGCTGGCCTGTGATGGCTTTGGGGGTCCCTGAGAGAACTTTATGCAAGACCATGGCTGAATGGATTGTCTGTGCAGAGCCTGACATCCCCTGAGTACACAGCGTAATAAATCTGATGTGGTGCACTATTCTCTCAGAAATGCTTAGCTGACATAGTTAGAAGAAAACATTAACACAAAATTTCTGCAAAGGTTCTGAACGCTGAAGTTAATTATAATTTTTTGTGTTGCAATGATTGTAAAAAAGTCTTTGCACTTCAGCTCTTTTCTCCACAATGTTATGTCAGATACCAGGCGTTCTTTTCAATAGTTTTGATGGGTAAATGTTGCATTTCTAACAACATTTACCCAGTTTCTAAACTGGAAACCTTTTAGCAGCCTGCTGGGCACAATTAGATTATTGTACTTGCATTCTTTATTCAAATTTATGCCAGCTGCTGCCCAAACTGTGACTCTGTATACTCCATTTTTTGGAAAGAAGGTTGTTGGGTGTGTAACAGTTACTTTGTAGCTGCAGGAAAAGAGTCAACATGTTTTCAACATGATCATCAAAACCAAATTATTCTAGAAATCTCAAAAGCTAACAGCCTGAGTCAACAGATATTCCCTGGAACGTGGAAATGCATGTTGTCTTCAGTTTCATGCACAGACAATCTTTTCATGCGCACTCTCAGATCTCTGATACCACAACTATTGTTAACCCCAAATTATTCAAACACCTGGCATATTTTGGTTTAAACATTTTATCTAAAAACTAGATTTTTTTCAAAATTGGTATGTTTCCATAAAATGTTCACTATTCTGCCAAATTTGCTTTTTGCATTACAGTTTTAGTGTCTACTTCTAGAAACAGTCCAAGAGTAAAACAACAAAAACAAAACAAGAAAAAAAAAAAAAAAAAAAAACGCACCCTGCCATTTTTGGGAATATGTAAATGTTCTGTTGGTGTCTGCAAAAGAACATGTTTCACAAGCCTCTAAATCACAGGTGCCAAACTCCACACCAGGAGGGCCACTGGCCTGAAACTTTTAGATGTGCCTCTGCTGCACCACACCTAAATAGAATGATGACAAGAATAATGTGCCACAAATACTGTTTTTATTTTGCTGCCTTTTAAGTTTTAATGACAAATGAAAATATTTGCTGAAGTACTTATCGCTGGAGTAATTTATTTACTAGGCTAATTTATTTAAAATCCTCTGATGCCCCAGAGGATTTTTCATGAAAGCTGATCTCACTGAAGCTGTTTCCATGTCCTCTTATGGTTATGTCATTACAGTTTTTTCTTCATGCAAAACAGGCTCAGATGAGTTCACAGACACTCCAGTCCAACTGTCTTCATTTTGGTACAGGAGCTCTGTTAGACTCAGAGAGATTTTCAGAGTCACTGCTTGAAGCTGCTGTCAAACACGAGGTAAGAAAATTCATTCTAGATTTTGATTTTATCTTACATACAATCTTCTCTCATACAGTTGTGATTTAGTTATGCTCTGCTTTTTGTAGATTACCATAAAATATTGTATGACCTCTAACTGACAACATGACTTTGTGAATTCTACTTTTGACAGATTTTACACAAAGATGACAGAAACAAACATCAGTGATATTGCCAGCAAAGCCCCAGAACCTGAGTTTCCACCATGTAACAGGGATGATAACAAAGTGCGTGCAAATCTGACTTACATTTACTACTTCATGTTTGTCTTCAGTGTTATCACCAACCTGCTGGTTCTGGTTATCATCCACCGGTGAGTAAATCACTGTTTTATTTTTTTTACAGTAGTTCCAGACACTACTGTAAAAACCTTAGAAGAAAAATAGAACGTTAGATCTTTGTGTTTGGCTGTATTTCTTGCTTTCAATTTAAATAAGTTTTCATTTTGAATGGAACCACTTGTGGTGCAAAGAGAAGCATGCTTCCTTTAAGGCACGCAAAGTTTACAGAAAATATGATATACATTAATACAAACTTTTATCATAATTTCTTCCCTACTTATCAAACATTTACATTGACTAAAAAGTAGGATAGTCAACGTTGATGCGCTAACACATGCGATTAATCTGAACATTACATGACTCAGATTAATCAAACTACTATTTTGACTGAAAAGCTTATAGTTCACAATTATGGGCTTGACACATTGAGTGAAAGACAAACGTTTTCTGAGAGAGCAGACAGCAACAAAAGTTGAAAACGTTTCAACTCTTTTGCTGCAAGTACAGCTATGTGTACGCTCAAAATCTTCCGAGCACAAATTACTCTTGTTGCTCAGGTGGGTGACAAGACTTTTTCACTGATTGACAGAACTAATATTAAAATACTTTAACTCTTTCGATGTTGATCAAATTGATATATTCGCTTTTTGCTGTTTGATGTAGACACAATTTCTAAGAGGAAATTTACAGGCTACTGTAAAGTCTTCAAAGCACTTCACTTTTTCCAATGTTATGTTACAATCGTATTCCAAGATGTATTAAATTAATTTCTTTCCCCAAAAGTGTACACATTAATACCCATTAGAATTTTTTGGAGTGTTTTGCAACTGTATTAAAAGTAGAAAACCAATAAATCGCATCGGTATAAGCCTTGGGTTAATACTTTGTTGATCCACCTTCTAAAGCAATTCCAGTCTCTCACCTTTTGAACTTGATGCCTTCAGCTTTCCTCTCCTTCCTTTAGCAGTTTGGCTCATTCTTCTTTGCAGTTTTTCTGATGGAGCTCCATCCAGCTCCATCTGATGGAGCTCCATCCAGCTCCATCAGGCTGGATGGAGACGTCAGTCAGTTTCAGATCTCTCCAAAGATGTTCATTCAAATTCAGTGGTTCTGAAAAACCTTTCATATTTGGCCATGTGCTTTGCGTCGTTGTCTGACTGTGAAATGAATTGCAGCTTCAGTCTTTGGTCAAGATGCTCTGGAACGACTTTGTCACTGTACATTGCTGCATACAGTTAGATGATATTGGATAGGTTACCTCCAAACATGTCACCTGGCTTTAAGTTTAACCTTTGTCTCATCTGACTGGAGAATCTTATTTCTCTGTTCTGAGAGTCTTTCAGATATGGATCTCTCGCAGTCACCACATGGCTGGAGCAGCAATGAGCAGCCAGGGCCGCCCAGTGCTGCTTACAGCTTCACTTTTCCAGGAGTCTGCAATAATTATATTTAGGAAGTTTGTGCTGTGATAGTAACAGTGGGTGAAAATCGGCATAATTTGTCCCAAAAGGTTTGTCAAGAAGAGATAAAAAAATAACTTTCATTTACACATCATGGCCAAAATTTTGAATTCCAAACAACGAATGAACTAAACTTAATTAAAATTTTCTGGCTAACATACACACAGATCTTCTATGAAAGGTACTTCAGTCTTGTGTAAAATTAAAGCTACTGATAATAATTTGTGCTCTGACTGTTGGAGAATTGATGTTTGTACCAAACTAACACTTTACAATCTTCCCTCCAGGTTTGAGAAGCTGTACACTGTGATCAACATCTTGCTGGTCAACCTGGTGACGTCGTCCCTGATCTTGATGAGCAGCCTTCCCTTTCAGGCCGTCTACATGCAGATGTCTACATGGATTTTTGGCTCAGCTATGTGCAAGATTGTCTTCAGCGTCTACTACCTGGGTTTTTACAGTTCTGTTTTCTTTCTGACTCTGCTAACATTTGACCGTTACCTTGCTTTTGTACATGTTATGCCTGTAGTACATGTAAGGAGTCGACGCAATGCAATCATTTCCTGTGCAGTGGTGTGGGTGATCAGTGGTTTGGCTTGTGTCCAGCCAATGATTCTCCATGGTGTCTTTTCCCAAGAAGACACTGAGCACTGTGAGGAGTTTGCTCACATTGATGGTATAGATCGAAAGATGCTCAATAGATCCAGATTTTATATTCAGCTTTTTATCTTCTTGATCCTCCCTCTGGCTGTTATCATATTTTGTTACATTAGGATTGTGGTCACCATTAAAAAATCCCAATCGACTTCTAAATTCCATGCAGTCAGGGTGATATTTATGATCGTAGTGTTGTTCTTCATCTGCTGGATCCCATTTAACATCGTAGAACTCCTGCATTATAAATACGAGTCTGATTTGAGCTGTGAAGCTAAAAAGAGACTCGGTTACGCTCTTCGTGTCACCCGCAACATGGCGTACATTTACTTCTGCATCAGTCCAATATTTTATACATTTGTGGGAAAAAAATTCCAGAACCATTTCAAACAGCTGCTGGTGAAATGTTTCCCACAATTACAAGATCATATTTCTTTCAACACAAACAACACAACAACAAGAAATTTGTCTTAAGAAGTGAGTTTATCTCTGAGTTTGTCATCATTCACTCTGAGTCAAAACAAATACTTACTTACAACTGCATTCATGCTTTTTAAATTTCAGACCATCTTTTCTGGCTATAACAACCCTCACTTTGACCTAATGTATTGTTATCATACTGAAAAATATTTGTGGATATTAGTGCAACTAAAGCTCATGATTGTGAGTGTTTATGTCATACAGCTAAGCCTTTTGAATCATTTCATGATTTGTTTACAGGTCTACCATGCAGTTCACACACCTTATGGCCAAGTTTCAAAATGCAGCTTGCAAAAGAGTAATAAAGGAGACAAAGCAAATAAATAGACAACAGACTATTTAAAAAAAATAATAAATTTTTTGACCTACATAAAAAATGCTATTTTGAGGCAAACGACAGGGAAACATGGTGGATGTGAAGATGAATGAAGGTAATACTGGAGGAAAATCTGTTAGAGCAGAATCCTGGTCCTAGAAAGGAACCATCTAACAGGCTTTAGATGCATCCCTGCTCATACACAACTCAATCAAATAATTACTTCTTTAGCATCACATTTGACAAAGGCGTGGTAACGATCCATTCATTTGATTCTGATGTGTGTGAACAGCACACACATCAGAATCACACCAAAGCTTAGAGGAGAAAGGGCCTTCTATGTTTCTGCCCCTAAGCTTGGGAACGCGCTACCGTTAAACATCTGACAGGCTCCCTCACTGTCCATTTTTTAAAACCTGTCTGAAAACGTATTTTAATCAACTGAGCCCAATGTTCCCTCTAATTGTTCATATGTCTGGGCGTACACACAAGCTTCCTGGGCACACTGCGGACCACTGTGAGCATCATCAGTGTACACAGCGTGGCCACGCACAAGTATCATAAATCTGGGATCATAGAAAGTTGCATTGCTTATTAAAAAATCAAATTACATCAGCAATTTTCATTCTTTTGCTTTGAATTTAAGTGATTTGCTCAATTAAAATAAAAAAAAAAGAAAAGAAAACATTGCTGTTCATGAGATGCATGCTATAAGTAAGAGTCCTGCTTCAGCCAGGGTGAGAAATGAGACATTACACCTTTCAGACATAAATGTTTGTTCATATTAAAACATTCACATTTTGCACAATGAAATGTTTTCTGTAGCTTGTGATGCAGTATAAATTCTTGTAAAATATTTAATTACAGTTTTTTTTCACGTCTGCCCTTCTCACTTCTTCTCACTTCTCCAGTGGTTGTACACTTTGCCCAGGTTGATGGTCAGTCTGCTTCTTGCTATATCTACTTGAATTCAGCATATTTGACTGTTAATGGCCTCATAATCTGTGGGTGGAGGAGAATGGCCTCATACTTCTTTGCCAGTGTACAAATGTCTGCTTATCTATAGTCAAAAGTCTGAACTCAACATTTCAATATCAATGCAGACCATTCCTTTCATTTGATTTGATTCCATTTGATCTTAGAAGAAGTGAATTTATTTTTTTTTACTTTGGCTTGGTGAGTGGATGTCCCACGTAGACATAATAAGGTGATGGCTTTCACGTTTCCTAACTCTACCGCACTATTCTCACCTGCACGGCGCTATGACCAAGGCACGTAACCCACGTAGCCCAGGTTGATGGCTGATTGGCTACACAGCCAATCAGCACAATGCTGATTGGCTGCGTAGCGAAAGTGAACCGTATCGTATCATTGGCTGGATTCCTGTCACTCACTGAGTTCGATCGCAAAGTAGTACGGAAAAAAAAAAAATTTATTGGTCCATAGTCAACTGATGTCTGAGCTCAATGTCCACTTTACGTTGGACTTTATTTTATGCACTACATAGATTTTCTTGTGCGCAGCTTAGAGGGAACACTGACTGAGACCTGATCTCACTCATTTTATTGGTGTTGATCCAACTTCATTTTTATGCTTTCTTTATCATATTTAACCATTACTGATATTCAACTTTGTTTCAGTTGCAGTTGGTGTTAAAGTGTTCATAAATGAAGTTGATGTTTATGATGACAATGACATGACTTAGAACAAAGTGTGTAAAATAGATCATAATTTACACAATACACCAAAATTCTAAATTTAGAAATTTACAGATAATCTCCCGCTAACTTGCAAAGAGGGATTGATACAAAATGTAGAATCAATATAAGAAAGAGTCATAATGCTTCTCTATAAATATATTAGCCAAATCTCTCATTATATTTTGTGCTGTTCTTTAAAAATGCTTTAAAGTAGTACAAGCTAATAACTCCAAAAAACATAAACAAACACTACCAAAGCAATGCCAAACAATCTCTCTCTAAAGATGAGGTGGAGGAGACCCAACACACTACGTAAGGGGTTCCCAAGTCCAGTTCTTGAGATCCACCAGCCTGCAACTCTCAGATACATCAGATGTCCAACACAACAATAAAATCAATGGCTCATTACCAGGCCTAGAGAGCTGAATGACTGCTGATGAGAGAGTTCAGACATTTGATTCAAGTGTGTTGGACCAGGGATATATTTCAAAGTTTGCTTGATCTTGAACATGGACTTGAGGCCCTCTGCACCGGAAAAAAAGAGAAGCAAAAGCAAAGCTGAGTAATTATTGGGATGAGTTTACTGGCAGAGGAAACATAACTGAGCTGAATGAGTGTTACTGAGAATCTGTGATTAAATGGAAAAGAATTTAAAATGGGGCCCTCTATTGTCATGTTCCCCATGTTACACACAGGAACATTTTTGGATTGGGTTTTTGGATGGGAAGCTTCACAGTCTGCTGTAACTCCAGTTCAAACACGATCGAGACACCAAACTCCAGGCTAATTTCCAATAACTCAGTTAACATGCTTACTTTGTAACCTTAAATGTACAGTAATCACTTCATTCATCAATATAATCGTATAAATCGAGGTGATTTTGTTTTCATGTGTTGTTTAGGGTGCTATGTTCAGTGACATCATAACAATTACAAAAAAAGATCTAACAAAAATCAGCAACAAGAAAAGCTTAACCAGCAACAAACCTGTATATTACATCTTGGTTGTGCTTTGTATATGAATCCACTTTATTTTTATCATTGATGAAAAAATGTCTGTCACATCTGTATTATAATGAAATTAACATCTAAATTATTTTTAGATGTTATAATTATATTCTGTTTTTTTTTTCTTTTTGTCTGCTGTGTGCTGAGCAACTTGCATCATGATGTTCTACAATGTATTTTATTTTATTTTTTGGTATGGAGTCGACAGTAAATTAAGATGTGAATAACTCATAAACGTTCCTACAGACTATGCTATTAATATGTATGGATATAATTTATTTTTGCTCTTGATATTAAATAAATATCTTTAAAACTGTAACTTGTTTTTTTTTCTGTAATATTATTGGGTATTCCAGGAGAAATTAGATTCTATTATGGTCTTTTTCTAATGGAAAAAGAAAAAAAAAGAAAGTCAGAATTATAAAATGATGAAGATGAGTAGAACCAAACAGATGAAGTGGATAGAGGTGGTATTAGGAGCTGGAGTTTTACTGCTGCCCTTAGCTTCATAAATGAAACAATGAATGACACTTACCTCTTGTTGGATTGCATGATCCAGAAAGTAGTTCTATTACTCTGTGTCCAGTCTGGTAACAACTGATCTGGTCTTTTTCAGGTGTCGGTCTGGGATTTCACATTCAGTACCAGTGTTCTGATTGTCTGCGCTACCCAGTGGCAGCAGCAGTAGCAGCAGCAGTAGCTCTGAATTCATCTAACTGAGTTGCTTCTCCTAGCAGCTGTAGCTCTGTATCTTTGGTCCTGTGTTGGTTCATGGTTTCACATTCAGTACTGGCGGCATTCGCAATAGCTCCTTTAACATTTGAGCGCTTGCTGTCTCTGATATTTCTCCCAGCATTTTTCACTCGCTAGCTACTGTTGGAGTTTAGGCATCTTAAAATCTTTCAGCACTGCATTTGGTTTTAGCTCAATCACCTATTAGACCCTTCATCAGTTTTGCTCCAAATCTGTCTTCTGGAGAGAAATGTTGAGGGCACAAATTGGTCTTTTGGAAGTTGTGTTCAGCTCTCTCCCATTGTGCTCTTTTCTTTTCACGTGGAAAGTGACCCAAACTTGCCACTCGCTGTTTTTTTTTAATAACAGCCAACGGTGACACATTGTGGCATTTTCTAAAATTACAGTCAAATGCAAAATGATAAACAACAATTCAGACAAAGTTTCTGTGTTTACGTTGTAGATTCGAGTACAGAACAGACCAAAACGTGTTATCTATTCAGCAGATGAACAGATGGCGACATCCATGGGTGAAAATATGACAAATGATGTACATTTTTTGAAATAATTATGAGTTTTTTCATGTCACAAGCAACAATTCAGATAACAGGAAAATTATATATTTAGGCCAAAATGTTGCACCAATCATTAGATTGCATAATTTACACATTAAGCAGTACTCAATAAGCCCAACAGAATAAATCTTCATAGAGGCAAATAACAAAGATGAACAAAGACATCTGGAATGACGTACACAACTGACATGTTTCACACATCCACACCGCCAGGGATGCTCTTTAAACCAAAATTATTCTGGTAAACTCAAAGCCTAACAGCTTGAATCAACAGATATTCCCTGGAACTTGAAGATGCATATTTGCGCTTCAGTTTCATGCCCAGACAACAGACAAGGACTTCCCTGCAGCAAACAGAAAGAAGCGGGGACAGACTACTGTCAGTCTCATACCTTATTTGGAAATGGGACCAATGTACTCTGGAAGTGAAGGGGGCGGTATTCTTATGTTATTTGCAGCTCCTGTTTTTATTTTCGTTTGAAATCTGCGATATATCTTTATCCTTAGGAAGGATTTTATCACTCTCAACATGTATTTGAACTTCTTTCTTTTATTTACTTCAGTGCAGCTCACAGTTTTTAACAAATTCTGTAACTTCTAAATCTGCTCCTCAGTCACTTCTTTTCAGGTCTCATACTGCCTCTAGTGGCATGTGGGTGGTGACACAACTAATCTAATTACATTACTAAATCAGAGTACCACAAAGTCTTTAATATTTACTATTAATTTCTGCATTTCTGGCACAGTAAAAGATAAGTTATGTTATAAAACACAATATTTTATAAAATTTTCTTAAGAATGGTGAGCTTAATTAAATGACATACATATTTAATTAGGTTTAAGTGTGTGCAATTGTTTCCTGCACATATTCAAATTTCTATCTGATGCCACATCTATTGTTAGACCCCACATTATTCAAACTCCTGGAACGATGGGTATAAATTGACTTTCATTTTCCAGCCTGCTTCTTATGACTGGAAATTATATGAAGATTTTGGAGTCTCATCTTGCATATGATTGGGAATCTGTGGAGGTAGTGAAATATCGGTGTGATGAGTTCCAAATAAAACATTAGAACTCATCAGTAAATGTAAAGAACTGGAGTTCAAATAAAGATTAGCCAGTAATTATTGAAAAATATATAAATAGCTTTTCTGTGTAATGTTCATACATACCAGTAAATAATATGTTTATTTAGGATAATCAGAAACAATAAAATATACTTTTTTATTAACCCTTTTGGTTTCTTGATCTTCATGAGCTGCATTTCCACAACAATGTGTGGAAAATTTTCTGTTTTATTTATTTATTTTTTTACATTAACAGAATTTCAAAATTTTTTCAATGGCTGTGTTTCCATTAAATAAGATACAGTTACAATAAGTAAGTCATTAAAAAATTTACTGCGGCAAGATCCGATTACTTCCTGCTGTCTTCTTTGTCGTTTTCACCATTGATCAGCACCATAATGTCCGGTGCTGATCACAACTCATGTGACATGAAAAAATGTTTCCATTGAAAGACTTTACTTTTTATGCATCTGAAAACCAACTTACTCAAGTTGAGAAAGTTCATGGCCAAAAAACACAACTTTTTCCAATTTTTCTTGTTTCAAATAAACACATTTATTTTCATAATTCCAGTGTGCTGAGTTTTAACTAAGCTACTGTCTCAGATGAGCTTTGGTATTAAATGGAGTACTCCATTAGTTTGAATGCTCTTTTCTTCACCACAGGCGTTTTTGGATTCTTAACGAGTATGTACACTTTTTCATTTTATAGAGATCCATGAAAATGTGGAAACATTCTTCTGTTTGTGGAGGGGTTGGGCTCAACAACCTTCTTGTAATTGTTTTCTTACTAGCTATGAACAAAATCTAAGAAAAAAACATTAAGTATTCTTTGTACATAACAAATTGACATCTAAATAATGTGCCAGGGATACATTACAATAGTTAAAGAAAGAAATGACCTTTTGATCATAGCTTGAGTAAAGTTTTTATGTTTTTACTTGCTACATTAAATGGTTTAAAATGTTAAAATGTTGCTAAATCATTTATTGCTGGAGTGATTCATTTATTAGGCAATTTATTTCTGAATATATGCTTGGTAATGGCAGGATTGGTTCTCCATACTAATTGCCCCAGAGGATTTTTCATGAAAGCTGATCTCTCTCAAGTTGTTTGTACATGCCCTTATCGTAATGTCGTTATAGCTTTTACTTGACGCAAAACAGGCTCAGATGAGTTCACAGACACTCCAGTCCAACTGTCTTCATTTTGGTACCGGAGCTCTGTTAGACTCAGAGAGACTTTCAGAGTCACTGCTTGAAGCTGCAGTGAAACACGAGGTAAGAAAATTCATTCTGGATTTTGATTTTATCTTCTTTCATACAGTGGTGTTTTAGATATGCTCTGCTTTTTGTAGATTACCATAAAATATTGTATGACCTCTAACTGACAACATGACTTTGTGAATTTTGCTTTTGACAGATTTTACACAAAGATGACAGAAACAAACAATAGTTATATTACCAGCAACACCTCAGAGAAGCCGGTTGGACCATGTTCGAGGGATGATGATAACAAACTGGGAGCAAATCTGTCTTACATTTACTACTTCATGTTTGTCTTCAGTGTTATCACCAACCTGCTGGTTCTGGTTATCATCCTTCGGTGAGTAAGCCACCAAATTAAAACAAATTGAACTTGTTTTAATTTGGTGAAATGAGTTGCAAAACCGTACTAACTTTCTTTTATTATTATTTTGCTACATCTAATATTTAAGAAATTTTACAAATCTTTATATCCAATAAAGACAGCTTAACAAAATATAAAATGCAGTTTAAAAAAAGAAGAAATTAATTAATCTTTGATTGTAATTTTGCTTGAAATCACAGTTGCAAGCAGTTAAAATAAGTTTATTTTTCATTTTGAATGGAGCCACTGAGTATTTTCAGCTTTTGTGTTGCAGTACGCTTCCTTTAGGGTATGCAAGGTTCATGGGAAATATGAGCTACTTTCCAGTAATACTGCTGCACCTGAAGCAGTAAAACTGAAACACAATTTTGAGCAAAATGTGAACATCTAATTGTGAACATCTAAATGTGAACATTTAATTTCTAAAGCAAAAGGTAAATGATTTGCAGGTTCTGAATCAAACAGATGAGTAATGAACTGAAAAATGGAACAGGTTGTCTAAAAAAGGTACTATTAACACTGCAACAGCAGCATGGCTTTTTAAATACATGTGCGATAAATATTGTCATTTAGGATGTTTTGTTTACAAAGTAAATATACTTTTTTACATATATTTTCATGTCAAACTTTTATCTCATTATTTCTGATCTGACTATGTAAATGTCAAAACATTTATATAGAGCATGGATATAATTTTACGTTTTGGTAGTGGATCAAATAAATGTCATGTTGCTTATTTGTAGAGAAAAAGACTGATGAAATTTAGAGTGGAGTCTCACTGAAGTCCACATGGGATCAAACGTCAACTTCACGTTTTTTTGTAACCACCAAGAAATCCTCTTCCATGATTCTGTGTGGAAGGGTGATAGCTCCCTTTAAGAAGAGGTTGCCAAACAATCATCACAACCGTTTTAGGAATGGATGAATCAGGTCCTGCTTGCAAGTGAAATGGAAGAAAGGACGTTGCTTCCAGATTAGACTTCCAGATTAGTGGCAGGAATGGCTCTAAATTACAAAACTCTTATAGTGGAAAACCCATCAGCAGCAAATTAACAAATAATATTAGGATACAGGATTATGACTTACACTGGTCTGTTGTCATCAAGAAAACATGCAACTCCTTCAGTTTTCAGCCAGCAGCATCCTGCAGAAATATGTTCGCTGGACAGTCCAGCACAAGACATGCTGTGTAAGAAGAAACAAAAAGTTTGTGATTTTTTTCTATATGACATGAAATCCTCCCAACCTTTTTTTTTTTTTTGTATTTTTTTCTCGGAAGAGTTTTTGCGATGCTAGTGTCTCATATTGTTTTTACAGTAGACAGACAGAAAAGAGGGCGAGGAGAAGGGGAAAGACATGCGGCATAGGTCACTGGGACTCGAACCCGCGACGTCCACATTGAGGACCACACAGCACACCCAACCTTTTCTTGTTTGATTACCAAAATTATTTTTGTTTATAAATTCTTAATATTCAATTATGTATTTCTTTAGAAAATTTATTTTTTTAATAAAAATTTAGTGATTTTGCTGCCAACGGCCATCACTACCTTCAAACACTCTATGAAGAATCTGAATTAATGCACTACAAAAACATGAACATTTTTAATTTGGGATTAATAAAGTCTTTTTGAACTGAATTTGAATTGCTAACACATGCTGAAATTATTAGACCTGTGAATTCCCAGGTGATAAAGTCATTGTGGCAACAATTTATTTGATAAATAAAATGGACATAACACTGTCTTGAATATGACAACAGCACTTATGAACATGAATGAATCTTCATGGATATTTATGACTTTTGTCATTAAGTGTTACTTGGTAAATAATGACACTTTTAAATGCCAAGTTGACATTGTTTAGAATGTTTGTTATAATAACTAGACATTAACCAAGACAAAAAAAAAAAATGTCAAAAGTGCAGCTAACCTTTCTGTAATAGGATTACCTAACATTAACTTATAGAAAGCTAGCATAAGTCTAAATAGCTGAAAGCTAACTTTACCTAAAGAGAGGCACCAGTGCACCAGTTGGTGCACTGGTGCCTCTCACTGGTAGATATGGCATATTGCACTACTCAAAACAAAACCTTAAATTATGTTGTATTTCAAATGCAAAGTTGATAAGTGCTTTGTAGATATTTTTGGTGGAATACTGTAGAATCAGTTAGGTGAAGAAAGTTAAGACTAACAAACAAATGGCATAGAAGGTTAATGTTAACACATAAAGCTACATAAGTTTTTGAAGTTTGATAATTAATACATACAAAATATTTATGACAGATTATGATTTCTTGGTTAATATCAAGTTGTCATAACAAAGACATTGAAACAAAGACATATTTGCATTAAAAGTGTCATTACTTTTACTGTACTGAATTATACTTAATAACAATAGTCATAAATGTTCATGAAGACTCCTCATATTTATGACAGTGTCATGTCTGTCTTATGCACCCCTTCAAATAAAGAGTTAGCACCTCGGTTTTGTGAAGCTTCTGCGTATATTATGGTTTTACAAGGTACTGTTGGTGAACTACTAAAGTTTTCCATTATACCATTCAAATGCTTTAAAGTAATGTAATAAACGCAGAAGTTGCAGAAGCAGCTCAGTTTTCTCCAGTTGTAAGGAGCAGTTTAGTTTTACCCTTGCCTGTCCCAGTCTTTTTTTTTTTTAAAATCTTTGTAAGTTCATGGTGTGGAAGCTGAAGGACTGCTATGACAGAACTGTTAGTATGTCAAGAGGTAGATTATCAGTCCAGGCTAGTCAATGACTGTTGTTAAATTTTGCAATTCTGAGAAAACTCATGTTGGGCCTTCATTTATAGAAAGGAAATTATAAGGCTGCATGTCCCAGCATAGTTTGCACTAGAGGTTATCACTGCAAGCATCAATCCTGCAGTATGACTGAGCTTTACAGATAAGACGAGTCTTCAGTGGTCTTTGACAGAGACAGGCTCGTGAACCATCCATGCTTATTCTGTTGGAATGACAAATGATGAAGGTTTTAATCTTTGAAGATTAAAACCTTTAAAGTGGCATTCTAAAGATCCATCTGGCCGAAGCTGAAACTGAAAAACCCCTGCCATGTCCAACGCACTGGAGAAGCTTGTTGGAGGGGTTACTGCCTGAAGTTGACTTGTGAGTCCAAAAGAGCCATACAGCTGCTCCAGCGACTAAACTGTAACTTTAAGATTGGCCTCCAGGATATCACTTAAATCTACTTTGAGACAAACTTGTATTTTTGTCTGGACGCCGACAGAGTTAATTGAATAAGATGACTTAATCAACATACATAACTTTTTATATGCTGGCTCAATGTTAAAAATAAAAAAAACCCTGAAATTTCTGGCTAAAACTCTCACAAGTCTTATTTGAAAAAACTTCACAGAATAATTTGTGCTCTGACTGTTGGAGAATTGATGTTTGTACCAAACTAACACTTTACCATCTTCCCTCCAGGTTTGAGAGGCTGTACACTGTGATCAACATCTTGCTGGTCAACCTGGTGACGTCGTCCCTGATCTTGATGAGCAGCCTTCCCTTCCAGGCCGTCTACATGCAGATGTCTACATGGATTTTTGGCTCAGCTATGTGCAAGATTGTCTTCAGCGTCTACTACCTGGGTTTTTACAGTTCTGTTTTCTTTCTAACTCTGCTAACATTTGACCGTTACCTTGCTTTTGTACATGTTATGCCTGTAGTACATGTAAGGAGTCGACGCAATGCAATCATATCCTGTGCAGTGGTGTGGGTGATCAGTGGTGTGGCTTGCATTAGGCCCATGATCCTGCATGGCACCTTCAAGCATTGGGGCACTGAGCACTGTGAGGAGTTTGCTCACATTGATGGTATGAATGTAGAGATGCTCAATAGATCCGGATTTTATATCCAGCTTTTTGTCTTCTTGTTCTTCCCTCTGACTGTTATCATATTTTGTTACATTAAGATTGTGGTCACCATTAATAAATCCCGATCAACTGCTAAATTCCATGCAGTCAGGGTGATATTTATGATCGTAGTGTTGTTCTTCATCTGCTGGATCCCATTGAACATTGTAGAACTCCTGCATTATAAATACGAGTCTGTTTTGAGCTGTGAAGCTAAAAAGAGTCTCGGTTACGCTCTTCATGTCACCCGCAACATGGCGTACATTTACTTCTGCATCAGTCCAATGTTTTATACATTTATTGGAAAAAAATTCCAGAACCATTTCAAACAGCTGATGGTGAAATGTTTCCCGATATTACGGGATCATGTTTCTTTTAACACAGACATCAGAACAACACAGACTTCAAGAACAACACACACTTCTTAAATTAGTCTTAAGAAGTGGGTTTATCTCTGTGAGTTTGTCCTCATTCACCCTGAGTCAAACCAAATGCAAAGCATTTATGCTTTTTAAACTTCAGGCCAACTTTTCCGGCTGCAACAACACTCACTTTGACCTAATGTATTGTCATCATACTGAATAATAATTGAAGATATTGGTACTATTAAAGCTCATGAGTATGAGAGATTCAAGTATCGAACAGCTAAACCTACAGATGGTGCCTATAGAATTGTTTCATTTTGCTGTTTCAGTCGACGTTGAGTTAGCATTTCTGTTATAGTAAAGCTGAAAGGACACTCTTTACATTGGGCGAGCCAGTGAGTTTTCTGGGTGTTTTTTTGGCACAATTCTGTATAATTTCCCAAGCGTTGAGCATGTCAAAAAGAACATGTATTCTGTCATCTGAAAAGGGAATGTGGCACACCTGTCGCCCTAACAAGACAAGTTGATCAGTTTAAACTGATAGGCCAACAGGAAGCGCAATAATCAGAGCAGTAGAAAAAAAGAGTAATCCTGCCTGTGGATGGGCTGCAGAGAGACACGATTTGTTTACGGGTCTACAATCTGCCATCCAATTCACAAACCTTGATTTTATGGGAGCATTTCAAGACGGATGACAGTTAAAAGGAAGGTCAACACAGGAGTTGGAGGCTACCTGTATTAAAGACTGCAAACATACAGCTATACCTACAATGGCATGGATTAGAACAAAGGGTGCCCAACTGTTAGAGCAGCATAGATTGTGAGTTTTGACAACGCACAGAAATGGACAAATTCAAAGGTGCGTTCCAGCTTTTTTGCAGAGTAAAATGAAATAAGAATCAGAGTTGAAAGGCTTCGCTGGACATATTTCAGCCAAATTTATCATAACAATACTTATACAGTGATACATCTGTATTGTCATAAAATTCACAGTAAAATCATTTATAAATGGACAACTACAATTTATACTGTTGTATTTAACAGTCTGTTGTTGTGTGTACTGGACAAATTTTATCATCCCCTTGTATTGTGTAGTTTGTTTGTTTTTTGCTTGGTGTGCCGTGCATAGTAAGTGAAAATGTAAATAAATCAGAAACTGGCCTGAAATTATGCAAAGCCATTAATATATGAGGATATAAGCTATTTTTTTGTATCCTGTACACTAAATAAATGTCTTCAAAAGTGTCTTCATCATGACTTGCTTTTTTTAAAAATAATATTGCTGGGGATTCCAGGAGAAATTTACGCTGTCTGTCAGGTGCTGAAAATACAATACAAAACAAACAAACAAACAAAAACAAATGCAAAAGAAAATGCTGCAAACAAAAAATTGCTGCAATAACAGAAGCAAAATCCTCCACTCAGCAAAACAAGTGCAAACCAAACATGCTGGAACCACAAACATTATACTGCATTCACAAATAAGATGCTGTCATCACAAGAAAAAAATGTCCTCAGATTTTTCTTACATCCAAGGATAAAATGCTCAAAATATCAACTAGAGTCAGAGTGACTGGTCCCCGGTGTCTTACACCATATAGTCCCTCTGAGTCCCCTTCATTAGAATCTCAAGACACCTCAGAAAAAATGTCTTCTCCTGGACCTGAGGTTTTTAAATTGATAACTACAGATACAGGCAAATGCTGAGAGATCATGGAGGAAAACCTGTTAGAGCAAAGATCTCCAACTGTCTTCTAAAGAAACTGTCTTACAGGTTTTAGATGCATCCCTGCTCATACACAACTGAATCAAATCGGTGGATGAGTACCAGGACTTGACGTAATTCAATCATTTGACTCTGATGTGTTTGAAGAGCAATGTATCTAAAACCTGGAGAACAGGAGCTCTTGAAGACTTGAGGACGGAATCAAACCGACTCAGGTTCACCTTTCAGAGGGCAATGACCCGAAACACACTGACACACGATGGCATGGCTTAGAGCAAAGTATCCACTTGATAGAGCAACATGTATTCTGTAACGTAGAATAGGTACAAAGAGTAGAATCAATGGGAAAATATGCAAATATGTAAATATGTTAGCCAAATCTATCAAATTAGTATTTTAACATTGTTCTTTGAAAATGCTTTAAAGTAGTACATTTGTTAGAGGTTGAGGAAAAGAGGGAGAATGCACTGGAAGAAAAGAAAAGCAAAATCAAAGCTGAGTAATTATTGGGATCACAGGCAGATGAAACATAACTGAGCTGAAAGGGTGTTACTGAGAATCTGTGATTAATTTTAAAAATTAACAGTCATGTTCCCCAGGTTACACGCAAGAACATTTTGGATTGGGTCTTTCGATGGGAAGCTTACAGTTTGCTGTAACTCCTGTTCAAATCTGATCAAAACAAAAAACTTCAATAACTGTTGGAATTACCAGGCTTACTCTATAACATTATCAGTACAGTAACAACTTCATTCATTTTGTTTTCATGTGTTGTTTTGAGTGTTTTGTTAAGTGACATCATAACAATGACAAAAAAATTATTAATAGAAATCAGCAACATTACAATCTTAAGCAGCAACAAACTGGTATATTACATCTTGCTTACATACATGCACACTTTATGTAAAATCAGTGAAAAAATATCTGTCGCATCTGTATTATAGTAAAATATTTCACATAAAGTCTTTCTAGGAAAACAGCTATTATGTATACAATTCAACAAACTTTATCCAATATTTGTCAGATGATCGGGATGTTTCTGGTTTTGTTTTTTTTCTGTCTATTGTGCTGCACAATTTCTAACATGGCATTGTATTTATTTTTACTTATATTACTTATATTTTTTGTGTATGCCATGCATAACAAAAAAATATGTAAATAAATCACAAACTGACTTGACATCATGCAAAACTATTAATATGTAAAGATATATACATATCTATATGTATATCTGTATATATGTCAGTGTATTGTATATGTAAGGATATAATTTATGTTTGTAATTTCATGTAAATTCACTTCTGTACATTAAATGAATGTCTTTAAAACATTCCTTTATCGTGACTTGCTTTCTTTTTCATATTAATATGGGCGATTCCAAGAGAAAGTAACTAACATTATTGTGTTGTTCAAATGCAAAAGCTGCAAAAATTAATTATAATCAAGATAACGAAATTAGTAAGGATTTAAAAGTTTAACGCATTACATATTTATTAACATGCTGCCTGTCCCATATCTGGTGATTGGACCACATTGACCTGCTTCACATCCAAAATTACTTCATAGCCACATACACTCATTTAAAAATAAATCAGATTCTGCTAACTCGCAATTTTTGTGCAATTATTTCAGCTAGAAACTTTTTGAAAGTCCAGCTGTGTAGCTTTACAGACAGTAAATATGAGGTGGAAGGACAGTAAATGTGGGTAGGAAGAAACATTCAAAATGCTAACAGCAGGTTCCTAAAGGCAGCAGTGTTAAACATGGAGCAGTGAGAAATAAATAAAAGCAACAGTTACAAAGACAGAACTAAAGAAGATTGACAGCCTGGGAGTTCTGGAGTTTTGTGTTTAAAAGCAAGTCCCTGCAGCTCAGCGCCACCTGACAGCTTGCTCCGTCTCTGGTGAACAACGTGTTCTGCTGCTTTTGCCTCGATTTAGCAGAATACAGCCGGATTTATGCGGCTGTCATAAATATCCACAGTTATGACCTGAAATGCTCTACAAAGTGTTTTGTCTCACTCTTTGTTTTCTCAAAGGCTTTGCTGCCTTTGATGATTTTTCATGTCGGTTATTGTGACCTGAAGTCACAGTGGGCCAAAGTACAGACCGGAATTTGGAAAGAGCATGTTGAAGGATCCCATCTTTAAATTTGATTAGCTTCACTTTGGTTTGATCATTTTTGCTCCCATGTGGCGGAAAGAAGCTGCTCATTCATGACCCTGTTTCTTGTAAACACACTTCTTCAGAATTCTCTCCTGGTTTTTGCACGTCACAAGTTGAAAACTCATCTCATTGCCCTGTGGACTTGTTAAGCAACTTGTCTGTTCTTGTCCAGCTCTCACTTTCTCTTTTTAATGTCTGATCAGGAGCTGTTCAGCTCCTTAACTCACTTCTCTCTTTGGAGAGCTTGAGTGTAGTGAGGTGAATAAATAATGATTCATTTCTTGGCTGATTTGAGCAGTAAGGGTCACATTACTGTTTACTCTCGTCTCTATTTTTATTTTGTATTATTATTATCATTATTATGCCCAGCAGAAGAAGGCAGACTGTTGGCTGTTATGTTGTGTTTTCAGTGCCCTGGGTACTCACTCTGTAAAACCAACGTTACACAGTCACTTCCTGTGTAGTGTCGTGGCTGATCTGCGGTTTGGCTTGCATCAGACCAATGCTTCTTCATGGCACCTTTAGGCATTTTGGCACTGAGCACTGTGAGGAATTTGCTCATATTCAGGTTATTAATGCAAAGAAGCTCAAAAAATGTGGGGAGAAAATTTCAGGAGTACAACAATGTTGTGAAGAGGATGGAACACAAATATGTTTATTTTGGTATTGTGGTTCTTTTTCGATCTGACAAATACTTGCATATTAATATGACAACATGTGTCATAACTTTTTGGAGGTGTTACAATGTATTGGTTGCCAACAAATGAAGGCAAACATCGAGCTGGAGGCAGACTACCGACCAATCACGGTACAAATTTGTGGTACATTTACTAACATGTCCAGTGTGACAAGCAAGTATGTTTTGATAAATGAATTTATGTATGTTTATAATTGTTGTTACTTAGTGATACAAAAGTAGCAGCATTTAAATAAGTGTAACCTCTTGATGTTGACTTTGGCATAATTACTTATTTTCACAGGTTACCGTTGACAACCGTATCAGTTGATCGGAATTTACCTCATCGGAAATTTGGTGAAAACACAGAAAGGAAACCTGTACACTTGTGCAATTATCAGTTATTGCACAAGATGGGCATTGTGATGAGGCCCTTGAATAATGCTGCCTGGCGTACGGCAAAGTACTAACCTGGTCCTGGTTTGTCAACAACTCATTGGTGGAAGTGAGAGCGTTGTGCCACACAAATAACTATCTGGCTGAAACAGAGCACACTGATGAGTAGAACAAAATTCTCAAGACAATTTGCCTCGAGGATGTGTAATAATCGAGGTACTGGAAACATTCGATGAATTGTTACAGGCCTGTCCTTCAGCTTGGTCAGTTTGCTGATTTCTCAGCAGGTTTGAAATGCTGATATTGAACGGCTGATTGTAACTCTTTCTCATTTCTGAGAAGCAAAGGTATTTATTTCCATTTCACCAGAAATGTGAACTTGCGCCACTGTAGTTTCACCAGACTGTTGGTGTTAGCCAACATTATGCAACTAGTGTTCATTTGTTGTTGTTGATGACTTCAGGTATTCAGCTTTAGTTCACATGTCACAAAAACCACTGAGTCAGTTTACATACAGACGACAAAGTGCACTGCAACGTGCACTAAAAGATGATTTCTGATAATATTTACCACAAGGAAGAGAAGACATCTTTCAGATGGTAGAAGCAGTAGAAAAACATGTTGGTGATGATAAATTGCTGTCAGGCTGATTGAATTGTTTTTTTTTCTACATCAGCCAAGCCCGTATGTCTCATTTCTGTCGTGAATCCTGGACATAATGGCAATAAAAAGTCAGCATAGAACAATCTCTACAGCCACAGCCAAATAGTCAGCACCCTCTGACTATGCTTATTTTTCCAGTAGTTAGTGACTCACAACAAGAGCAGATTTAGATTTTTAATTTTGCCAACATGTTTTCTTGTGACTTGAAGGAACCTGAAGGCATTTCAGCTGCCGCGAGGACACGGTTCAGATGAAGAATCTTGCTTAGGGATACTTGCTAAAGATTAAGGTGCTGGCAAAGAGATTTTCCAAACTCAGCGGTTTAGAGCTCACCACTAAAACATGAGTCATCAGAATACCAGAGCAAACATGTGTGAACCTCACAGAAATAACAAGAAGGGTTCAATTCCAATGAAGATTTTTATGGTGACTTATGAGAAGGTTGTAAAATATATTTAACAGGCTGTTTTTAATAAAATACTTTAAAAAACACACACACATGCACACCCACACCTTCACACATGTCCTTACATTGTTCCTACAGTTCCACTTTTCATACTTTCACATGTTGACACTAAAAAATACTTTAAAAATATTTGGTTAAATTATTTATATGTCACTTTTTTAATAAATCTTAGAAGTGCAACTTAATTAACATATCTTAAAAATGAGGGCTTCCATCAACAATCATGTTACTGCTCTTAATTCCCCTCTATAATCCATTATTACTTTCATCTAATCTGACGTCATATTTGATTTATACAAGTACATCTGCATTACAACCTCCAGCTGGTTTTTTTATGTGCAGGTGTGCAGGACTCTGTATTTTTCCTGCTGCTGGAGCATCATGAGATCATTTGTTCAACTTCACTTTATTACGAATTCACCTAACTGTGCTAGCAACACCATTATGGTGAGTCACACAGATTGTGGAAAAGTCCTTTAAACACTAAATCAGACATGAAAATATACAACTCCAGCACTCTAAACACAGGTAGAGAGAGTTCTGCTGCCTCCTGGTGCTCATAGGTAGCTGTTACAATCTAGAATGTGAAAGTTTAAGTGTGTAATGGTGTTTGACATTTAAATAAAAATGGAGTTCCAGCTTCTGTCTTTGAACTAGCACAAATGATAAATAAAACTGGCATATAAAACTTTTAGTTCAACCCAAGTGTTTCAAATTTGAAGACATACAGACAGACATAAAGGCAGATTCAGGAATAATTCATCTATGAGCACTAAAAACTGTGTGATGAAAAGTAAACAACATAATATTTCAGTAACAATCCTGCATGGACCCAATATGAATAATACCGTAGAGTTGGACGAACCAGATCACATGGATTCCAGCATCAGTTGTGGGATGAAGCAATCAGAAGTTCTCATGTGAACAATCACAATAAACTAGTTTTATTATGCTTGCAGTGTCCAAGGACTCTCATCATTCCATGATATTTGTAATTGTATTGCAATTTAATACTTATCTACTTTTCAGTAGTCTATAATAGATTGAACGTGGATCCTCAATGATGAACTCAAAATATGACTTTATGTCTCAGTTTGCCAGAGGTGTGATTAATTTGTGGTTTCGCTCTCTGTCAGCCACATAAATTGGCCATTTTCCATTGCAGCAGACTTTCTTGTTGAATGTATATAAAGTGAATTTACGTTGTGCGTTTTGGGGGGAACGTGAAGGTTTATGAACCTCGTGGTGAGTGGACCTGAGCCATCTCATTCGTTCATCTGTGTCTTCTGACTGAGCCGTCACCCAGGCTGCCACTCTGTGTCTGCCTCTTTCAATTTTTTTTCTCTCTCTCCACTAAATATTTGTGTTAATTTTTTGTCAATATTGGGCCTACTACAGTTATTATTAGATCGATGCATCTGTAAGAAAAATAGGATTTGATAATTTCTTTTTTTTTTTACTTTTTTGAACGATATTGTTAGATACCAGACTTGCAGTGCGATGGTTCTGTGTGGTATTGTAAGCAACTACAGTCTACTTCAGCATACAGTCATGTTATGGTGACTGAAACATAACAAATGATCATATTTGACACTGTAGAAATGTAGATGTTTCACACATTCATTATTGCAGAACCTCAACAACAATCATTTCCAGGAAACAATCCTCTCTCAACAGATCCTCCAGAGCAAAGTGTAGTACAAGGGTCTGGATTTCACCAGACTACAGTTTTCCTCACTCTTACTCTGAGGATCCTTACTCTGGACAACGTTTGTCTTTGTGGTTAACCCTGAGGAAGATTTTAAGACTGATTTCACCAACGTTTCCACATTA